AATAAAAAGGTTTCCAGACCTATCAGTTCTCACAAATTTTACTTTTTACGTACCCTTTATGGGGAAGCTTTTACTCAACCAAAATGAGGGGCTGAGGTGAGGAAGAGGAAGACGTGGGGCAGACGAAGAAGGGTTCAAAGCCAAGCCGAGCCCAGCCGCAGTGGGGCGCAGCTGTGCACGGCCCCCGCGCAGCCTGGGGGCAAACGAGACGCTCGCAAAAAAAAGAAGAAAAAATGAAGGGTTCAACAAAAGCAGGAGTCACCAAGGCGACAGCATAAAGGGGAACCAGTCCAGACTGGAGCCCGTGAGGCCACCAGAGACACGTTTCCCACACACAGTGGACAGAGTAGTTCGCATATCTGAACACTAAAAATATTACCGATTCAAAAAAGAATCGTAAGCAAGACGAGTCGTCACAGTGCAGTGCAGGCTCAGCTGTGACCGGCGTGTCGTCGTCACAGCAACGTACACCTGCGTTACTAACCCGCGAGGCGGCCTCGTGGGAGGCAGGCTGCAGGGCGCGGCGACGCTCCGCGCCGGACCTGGAGGCGACAACAGTGAAAGCGGCTCTTCGGTGGGCCGTGGAGAGGCGAGGCGGGACAGGACCGCCGGGCTTTGAGGCAAGTTTTCTAGAGCCTGTGGGCCTTTCCGGCCTCGCACTGTGTTTCGCCGCCAAGTGGCGCCCCTCTGAGCGTGGCGTCGCGGGGGTCGGGGCTCCTGACCCCGCCCGGGGTTCGACTCGCTCACACGGAACAGGGAGCTGCAGTGCGGAAACCTCAGGGTGACTCCTGGGTCTCTTGCTGCCCTCTTATTCTGTGATGCCGAGTAATCTTTTCCGGAGTCACAGACTCTGAAGGATTTTTTTTTAAATTAAGCCTCCACAGTCACTGACTTTGTCTGAAAACGAGCGCGCAGTTTCTCTCGCAGCGAAATAAGCAGCCACCGCGAGTGCGGTCGGCCTCGGCTCTGTGGGCTCCGCCAGTTGGGGGAAAAACAAAAAATAACCGCACGCCAATAAAAAAATAAAATTAAAGTACCGCATAATAATTATTTACAGAGCATTTATATGGCGTCAGGTGTTACACGCAATCTAGAGGTGATGCAAAGCACACAGGAGCGTGTGCGGGTCACACGCAAACGCCGCACCGCTTCGTGTCAGGCCCCCGAGCGCCCGTGGATCTTGGTACCCGCAGAGGGTCTTAGAACCGGTCCCCCGGGTACTAAGGGACAACTGTACCTTCTTCATCAAATGAATGCTTCCAAGTTTTGAAGATTGGGAAGGGAAGTATTTTTTTTAACTGTGGTAAAATACACACAGCAAAATTTACCATCTTGACCACTTTTAAGTGTGCAGTTCAGTAGTGCTGGAAGAGAAGCAATTTTTTTTAGGAAAATGTACACGGAAATTAGTTCTAAGTGCTAAGATCTTTTGCTATAAGTATTTGTTTTATGATCGCCACTGAAACAGTTGTTTAATGTTCTTCATATTAGCTTGCCAGAATAATGTTAACTTGTAAAACTTTCAAATGTTTCCATTGTAGGTAAAATTAGAACCTATGATAACTATTTAAAATATTCAAGAAATTAACTCATTTTTTCACCCACTTAACAGTTCAGAGCCATTTGAAATGAAATATAAAGTAGTGTAACTAAATCTAAGCAATCCCAAATAAATGCCCATTGTTTCCCGAGAGAACGACAAGACATCACCAGTGTGAGTGACAGAAAGACACCCACGTTAACAGCGTGGATACGCTATTTTCTCTCCGGATGGGAGTCAGGCGCACAGCTTTTCCATACAATGACTGGAATTGTGCGCAGCCCCCCCCACGCCGCTCTACACTGCACTTTTGTTTTATGCAGATGTAGGCGAACTGGAATGCACAAAAGCCCACATTTTCAGGCTGAGAACATGCAACTGAAAATGAAAAACGGATTTTTCTTCTGTAAGACAGGAGACCAAATGTGAATGCTTTGCTGCGGGCAGATCAGGGCAGACCTGAGGTCTCTGAGTCGCCTCCTCTTTGAAGGTGGCTGCTGCCGGCAGTCCTTTCTGACTGCTGTTAAGGTTCCTGCCATGGCCCATCCGAAGGCATGAACAGCAAGGAAGCAAAACCTCTTTCTGGCAAAGAGGACCAACCTCTTCCCAAACTGTCACGGTAGCCAGTTCGCTTTAGGGTCTGGGCCACTTGCTAGAGGACTGGGCCCACGGAGATCCACCTGACAGAGCTGGGACACTGCCGCGGAGCGTTAAACAGAACTCTCACAGCAGAGGACGCCTGGAGACCATTTCCGGGAGGCCGATGCTTGGTTTCTAAGGAGCGTGGAGGTCTGGATCCCTGTGCCTGGCCTCAAAGTCCCTCCCCGCCCCCGCCGCGCACTCCCTACGGCTACGCTCACTCTGATACCCGACAGCAGCTCCACTGCGAACTTCGCAGCCAGCGACCCTCCACCGTGCCGTCCAAGGCCGCAGTCACTGCACGCAGCCGGAATGGCCGCACCTCTGCGGCGTCCAGTTCGAGGTCCCTGCTGCGCACTCCGCTGCTGTTCCCTCACGGACTCTTCCGTTCACCCTTGGACACCGACGCTCCGCTGCTCTTCCGGCAGTCGTGCTTTCCCGCGGGCACGCGCGCTTGCGGTTTTACCTTAACTTTCACCCACATGCTGGTAAAGCCAAACTCTGCTTCTCCAGCCCCAGCCTCGCCCATGTCTAACTCATACATCCGAGTGCGTGCAGGCCATGTCCACGCGAAGGCCCCACAGCACTTACAATTAATTCAACGTCAACATTCTGGTTTCTCTTTGGATCGTTTCAATCTTTCACCTTTTACAACACAACATGTCCAAAAGTGAAGCAAAAAAGATAAAAATTATGTGTGTAAATGAAATCCACAATTCTTACCTGACACCCTTAGGGACAAATGTTAAGGAATTTTGAATTTTCAGAATTTAGAGAAGGTAATACATAGTATATAAACAATATCACCACTGAGGTCTAGGCTAGTACCTTATAATCCAACACAAGTTTTTCTTCAGCAAAATGTACAGCTATATAATTTTTTTTTTTTTTTTTCGAGACAAGATCTCACTCTGTTGCCCAGGCTGGAGTACAGTGGTGTGATCCCAGCTCCAACTCCTGGGCTCAAGCGATCCTCCCGCCTCAGCCTCCTGAGTAGCTGGGACTACAGGCGTGTGCCACCATGCCCCGTCAATTTTTCTTATTTTTTGTACAGACAAGGTTTTGTTATGTTGCTCAGGCTGGTCTCAAACTCCTGGCCTCAGCTATCCTCGGCACCTTGGCTTCCCAAAATGCTGGGATTAAAGGTGTGGGCCACCTTGCTGAGCTATTCACATTCAGTGGAATATATTATACAAAGGCTAAAAAAAACAGCCTCATGTCAGTTGAGGTGATGTTTTCTATCAAATGAGTTAGCACCTTTACAAAAAGCTTACTTTTTCAAAGCCCTTTAGATATTGGAATTGTGAATAAGTGATTATTGAACTTGTCACACATATGACACTAAAGCGCTAATATCTTTAATATACATGGAACTCTTAGAAATAAATAAGAAAAGATGAAAACCTGGAAGGAAAATGGACCAAGGATATGAATACACCATTTAAAGATAATATTTTTTAAATGTTCGACCTTATTAATTCTCAAAGAAAACCAACTTACAATAGGTATTTTCTGCTTATTAGATGAGCAGAGATGAAAAATAAATTAGCAAAGGTATAGAGAAATAGGCACACATAGATATTATTAGTGAGTTAATATTTGTAAAAGCTTAGAACAATTGTCCAGTGAGCACACAGCAAGCTTTATACAAGTGACTGTTAAATAAATAGCGATGGAAACTTACCAAGATCAGTATCTATTCAAATTTTAAATGTGAATATCCTGTTATCCAGCACTTCCAACTCGAAGAATTTATTCTACCAAAATACACAAATGTGCAAAGATCAATTGTGCGGGAAGATTTTCACCGAATCCCGGTAACGGCGGGGTCTGGGTGCCGC